GCTCACCCAGCGGGCTTCCATGGCACAACGGGGATCTGAACCCAGATCCCAGTCCAGTATTCTCATCACCGTTATATTTGTTTATTCACTTCGGCTTGTATTCTGCCTTCCCTGCAAGTGGGCTCAGAGTGAATAACTGTGAATCCACAATAGGAATTAAAACATTTCACAAATAGATATTTCACAATAAACAGTTGAAGCCGTTCAAACAAGCTCTGAAATAATGACAGGGTAGCCCTGCAGTTGAGCACAACAATCTTGAGAACTGGAACCACTAGGCTGTAAACCAGACCGCGGGTCTTCACTTGATGGACCGTTCGAAGATGGAAAAGTTCAGCAAGGGAGGCCAACGGATGGGAGTATTTGGACGCCCACCGCCTCACCCAAAGGCTTGGCGGAGCAGCTGCATTTTACAGGGCCTGCGGAACGGCAGTAGCTCCCACAGGGCCCTGATCTCCAATGGGGGAATGTTCCACCAGGCCGGGGCCCGGGCAGAAAAGGCCCCGGCCTTGGTCGAGGCTAAGTGGATGTTCTTTGGGCCGGGGACAGCCAGCAAATGTTGGGTCTACTGAGCACAAGGATCTGCGGGGCACCTATGGGGAAAGGCAATCCCTGATATGTTGGTCCCTGGCCACACAGGGCCCTGAAGGTCTCCACACTGACTCTCTCTATGCAGCACAGGAGTACCATTTGGGGAATGCAGAGTTTCGATGGGCAATCAAAGCAAGCTGCCCAGTTCTTGGCCTTGAATGACAAGGCATGCTTGGGGTTTTGTCCTTGGAAATTCACAACCCACGGGGCCTAGAAACTTGTTTTTTAAAGGAGAGAGAGAGGGGAAAAAATGGGATTTTCAGAAAGCTACCTGCAGCCGTGAAATTAAAAGACGCCTGCTCCTTGGGAGGAAAGCTACGGAGAAACCTAGGCAGCATAATAAAAAGTAGAGACATCACCCTGCCAACAAAAGTCCATATAGTCAAAGTGATAGTATTCCCAGTAGTAATGTAAGGATGCGAGAGTTGGACCATAAGGAAGGCCGAGCACCAGAGAATAGATGCATTTGAATTATGGTGCTGGAGAGGACTCTTGAGAGACCCTTGGACTGCAAGGAGATCAAATAGAGGTGGTAGTTCCGCTCTGTTCTGCTATGGTCAGGCCCCACCTGGAGTACTGTGTCCAGTTTTGGGCACCACATTTTAGGAAGGATGTTGACAAGCTTGAGCGTGTCCAGAAGAGGGCAACCAGGATGGTGAGAGGGTTGGAATCCAAGTCTTATGAAGAAAGGCTGAAAGATTTAGGTGTGTTTAGCCTGGAAAAGAGAAGGCTTAGATTGCAGTCTTCAAGTATTTGAAGGGCTGTCATGTAGAAGATGGAGCAGATCTATTCTCTCTTGCTCCGGATTGCAAGACTAGATCTAATGGGTAGAAGTTACAAGGGAGTCGATACCGGCTAAATATCCAGAGAAATTTCCTAACTGTAAGAGTGGTTGAGCAGTGGAACAGTCTGCCTCGGGAGGTGGTGGATGCTCCTTCGCTGGACGTTTTCAAGCGGAGGCTGGATGACCATCTTTCGGGTCTGTTGTAGGGCTATCTTTTGGCTATGCTCCTGCAGAGTGCAGGGGGTTGGACTAGATGACCTGCAAGGTCCCTTCCAACTCTAACATTCTATGATTCAATGAAATCAGACAATCCTAAGGGAAATCAACCCTGACTGTTCCCTGGAAGGCCAGATACCGAAGCTGAAGCTCAGATACTCTGCCACCAAAGGAGAAGGGAGCCCTCACTGGAGAAGACCCTGATGCTGGGAAAGACTGAAGGTGAAAGAAGAAGGGGACAGCAAAGGATGAGATGGTTAGACAGTGTTATCGATGCAACGAACATGAGATTGAGCAAACTTCAGAGGACGACGGAAGACAGGAGGGCCTGGCATGATGTGGTCCATGGGGTCGCAAGGAGTCGGACTCGACTGTGCGACTGAATGACAACGACAAGCCTTGTGGTCTACCCCTTGGGTTGCCTGCTGCCCCCCCCCCCCGGCCACTGGGAATGGAGCATGGGGAGGGTGGGGACCTCACGGCACATAATGCCACAGAGTCCACCCACCAAAGCATCCATTTTCGCCAGAGGAACTGATCTCTGTATCCCTGGCATCTCCGAGCCAGTTTGGTGTAGTGGTTGAGCGCGCGGACTCTAATCTGGGAGAACCGGGTTTGATTCCCCACTCCTCCACTCGGACCTGCTGGAGGACCTTGGGCAAGCCATAGTTCTGTCAGAGCTGTTCTTGAAAAAATGAGCTGTTTCTGTCAAGAGCTCTCTCAGCCCCGCCTACCTCACAGGGTGTCTGTGGTGGGGAGGGGAAGGGAAAGGAGTTTGTAAGCCGCTCTGAGAGACCTTTGGGTAGTGAGGGGCGGGGTATAAATCCAATCTCTTCTTCTTCTTCTTTTACCTCACAGGGTGTCTGTTGTGGGGAGGGGAAGGGAAAGGAGTTTGTAAGCCGCCGTGAATGGGTAGTGAAGGGCGGGGTATAAATCCAATCTCTTCTTCTTCTTCTTTTACCTCACAGGGTGTCTGTTGTGGGGAGGGGAAGGGAAAGGAGTTTGTAAGCCGCTCTGAGAGACCTTTGGGTAGTGAGGGGCGGGGTATAAATCCAATCTCCTCTTCTTGTAGTCTCGAGACGAACAGTAATTCTAGGAACTCCCCTGATCCCACCTGGCGGCTGGCACCCCTATCCACACAGCTTGCTTAAAGATCACATCAAGAGTCCAAGCTCAAGGTGAGACAGGTCGTACTTTTATTTACACTGGAGGATGCGAGAAGCATCTCAGGACATAACGCGAGGAAGTATCACAAACGTATATTTTAGCACTCTCAAAAAGATCCCTTCATCATGTACATGAGACCAAGTATACTCCGTTTTTAATGAGGTAAGCAGATTAAATACTATCCTTTTCCATTGATAATATGAGAAGAACGAACTTAGGAGGCAAGTTATAAAATGGGAAGTTTCCTTCACAACGTTTTCGTGCACGAGGTCGACCCGCAGAGGTTTCCAGCAATGCGTTTAACAGAAGATAGTGGGATTCACAGTGGCAGTCAAAGCTTTGATAATACAACCGAAGGTGTGGTGCTGTTATCTCCAAATTGTTTTGAACGGGAGTCAGCGGATTTCTATTGCCCTTTAATTCTGCTTAGGTAAAGGTAAAGGTTTCCCTCGCTCGAAAGCCAGTCGAGTCCGACTCTAGGGTTGCGGTGCTCATCTCCGTTTCCAAGCCGAAGAGCCAGCGCTGTCCGAAGACGTTTCCGTGGTCATGTGGCTGGCATGACTAAACACCGAGGCGCACGGAACGCTGTCACCTTCCCACCGAAGTGGTACCTATTTATCTACTTGCAATTTCTTGCTTTCGAACTGCTAGGTTGGCAGGAGCCGGAACTAGAGATGGGAGCTCACTCCATCATGCGGCACCCGGGTCTCGAACTGCTGAACTACTGACCTTCCACAGCCTGCAGTTCAGCGTCTTAACCACTTGAGCCACCGCAGCTCCTTTAATTCTGCTTAAAGATGTTCAAAAGGGAAGGATCCCCCCCCCCCCCCCCCCCACCCGCTCTTTTGCCTGGTGTTTTCTCCCCCCGGCATGGCTCAGTCGCAGAGCCCCTGCTTGGCATGCGGAAGGTCCCAGGTTCAATCTCTGGCATCTCCGAGGAAAGGATTTCTGGGAGCAGAAGCTGGGGAAGGGGCTCTGTGATCTTGTACAGCGTTGTCAGGCAGCGTGGACAATACTGACCTAGAGAGGAGCGATGGAAATGCAAGACAACATCCTATCTTGGAGGTGTTGCAGGTGTTTTGCAGAACCTTAAAGGCCGGGACTTTTCTATAGTCGCGTTACTGGATCACGTTAATTACTGTGATAACCTCAGTCATCGATTTAACAGGTAAGGGCTATACAACTGTCAATCATCAAACAAAGTAGCCACAGATCACAGTGAATGTTTGGGGTTTTGGGGGGGTGGCTTTAACACTGTTTTTCTGTACACCATGTTTGCAAGAAGAGATACTCTTCTTCCACTGCAGGTTTGGAACTAGGGCCCTTTCTGCACTCCCCTTTTAAATCCACGTTCAGCACGGCATCCTCCAAGCAATTCTGCACAAAAATCGGGTCCAACCTTCTTTTGATTCCGGGTTCCCCCCCCCCCAATTCCGTATTACATTACCTCCCTTCAGTGGTCAGCCCTGTTGCAGCCTGCTGTTGCCCCAGGTTATTTGGGCCCTTTCCACATTTTCCTGCCACTCTGGATTTGCCAAATAACTAGATCTAATGCGTGGGAATTACAAGGGTGTCATTACCGGCTAAATATCAGGAGAAACTTCCTAACTGTAAGAGTGGTTGAGCAGTGGAACAGTCTGCCTCGGGAGGCGGTGGATGCTCCTTCGCTGGACGTTTTCAAGCGGAGGCTGGACGACCATCTTTCGAGTATGTTGTAGGGCTGTCTTTCGGCTATGCTCTTGTAGAGTGCAGGGGGCTGGACTAGATGACCTGCAAGTCCCTTCCAACTCGAACATTCTATGATTCTATGATTCAGGGCGACAGCAGGCTGAAAACGGACTGACCTTTATGTATATTTTTATTGTTATATTCGTTTTATTGTTTTAATCCTACCAATAAAATGTTAATGAGAAAACGGACTGACCACTGAAGGGAGGTAGTGTAATACAGAATGGGGGGAAAAACTCGATTTTAGTGCAGAATGGGGAAAAAACCTGGATTAAAAAGAAGGGTGAATTCGATTTTAGGGCAGAATTGCTTGGAGGACACCGCTATGAGCATGGATTAAAAGGAGAGTGCATGAAAAGCTTATGATGCTGTTTTGCATCATAAGACTTAAACTGCCTCAAGTCGAACACTGAGAAAGTCCGGAGTGGCAGGCAAACGCAGAAAAGACCTGGGTCCACTTGCCACTCCCTAGGATACAATTCCAGTCCCCATGCTGGAATTTTAAAACAGGGAAGCAATTCTTAAAAGACTCTTTAAAAAAACCCAAAAACCCAGAGGAGTTTTAATTTTCACTGATGGGGGCCGAGCTTTCTTTTCATGCGCTTTGCCACCCTGCGGCCAAGACCTCGCTGGGCACACTGCGTTGTTCCTAGAGCATTTACTTTCTCAGCGTCCCTTGCCATTGATCAGCGCATACCCATGCACGCTAACATATACCGCATGCTTCTACACAAGCACCAATAGGAGGAACGGGTCATTTAATGCTTGAAGGTGAGGGCAAGGAAGTGAATGCCCTGGGCACAATGCCATGCTTGGCACTGAAGTGGCACGGAGCAGGAGCTGGATGCTACTGAAGAGACTCTGTGCCCTTGTCTCTGTGGGGTGGGAAGGGTTGCTCTTGTGGTCAGGGGCAAAACACTGCAGAGCTATCAAGTGGCAGGTCTTGCTGTTTCGACTACCTTACCGCGCAGGCAAAAGAACGATTCGGAGGGACCCCCCCCCCGGTCATAAAACTGTTGCACGGGAACAACCCCCTCCAGACAGACCCCGAACAGCAATTTTGTTGGCATTGATTCTTAACCGCGTTAGTACGTGTCACGAGAAGGACAGCCATGCTCCTGCCAGCTGGTCTACAGCGGAAGGGAAGACAACGGGGGCACGGGAAGGTGTCCAATAGTTTTTCAGAGAAGCGTGCAACAATCGGAGGTAGCAGCTTTATTGTCTCGGTTGACCTCTCTTCAGTAAATACTTATCCCTACATAATTCTGGTTTAGTCCATCCCTGGCTTCATTATTGTCGGCATCCCGGGAGAGAAATCCATTTGCGCGAAGATGCGTTTGCCAACTGCGCAACCTCCAAAGCAAACACTGCAACGTTAAACTTCATTAATAGGGGGCACCTCCTTGCCTCCGAGTGGGATAAAATGTCCTCTCGACATCCCGGAGGAGGATTCGATAAATGATCATGATCCGGTCACTCGTCGGAAGGAAAGCCGTGACAAAATCCGAGCACGAGTACTTGTGGCACGATCCTAGTTAATGGGAGAGGGGGTACGTCAGGAAACTGGAATGGCCCCAAAGGAACCCGAATGGGCCTCTGGGAACGGGAAGCACTGTGGGGGCTGCTCAGTTCGGGCCCAGACAGTGGACAGCCAAGCACGGGGACATGTGTTGTCGTCACTGCCTGGGCCCAAATCAAGGGGCTCTGAAGGTTCTGCTGCCACCACCAGCCACCTCCCAAGGCAACAGCCCATTGGGAATTTTCCCAGTCACATCGAAGGGCCAATCCACCCCTGTATTGAATACTTCCCACACTGGAAAGAGAATTGTCCTTGGCTCTCCCTGGAAGCAGTCTGTCAGGGCATAAAGTTTGCCTTCATTCCATCAACCTCCTTCAGTTACTCCTTCAGAAGTCCGAGTTTCCGCAGCGCCTCCCTCCTAGCTTCTTCTGTGGAGCCGCGGCCAGAGAACTGTACGGTTACGCCTTGGGGTCTCAGTCCAGAGGGTCTGGGGAGCGAGCCAGACCTCTTCCTTATCTCCATGGCGAAATCAGACTGCCTTTGGTCGTAAAAGCTCTTGGTGGTGTTCTGCCGAGCAAGCTTACCCTCCAGGAGAGCAGCGTCTGGTTTGAACGTCACGGTTTTGCTCACGCTGGGGAACGGGCTGGGCTCTTGCTTCAAGATGTCGTGGATGTTTCGATAGCCGTTTGACAGGGCCGGTGCTTCTTCGGGTCGTTCATCCTTTGGCGCGGGGACACTTGGCGATTTCTCCGGTTCAGACTCAGCCTGAACCAAAGTTTCTTCCACCAGGCCGAGTTTACTCAATGCTTCGTGCCGGGCCTGCTCTGAAGACAAGTCCTTTACGGACGAACTTCTAGCGGGACTTGAGAATTCGTGCTTCTGAAGTCTCTCTTCCAGCTCGCTGATTAGAATGGCCGAACCGTTGACGTTGGCTAACACCTGGGCTTTGCGTTCCTGGACGTTGACCGCGGCCCTAGTGATAGTCTTGCAGAACTCTCTTTCGCTCAGGTTGGTGAGGCTGATGTTGCTGGGAAACCTCTGGGGCTTGGGTGCGGTCGGAGGCGGAACGGACGGCTTGAGGGCCACGAAACGCCCCCCATTGCACTTCGGTGAAGAAGTAGGCGTTCTCCTCTCTGCCAACTTCTCCTTTGGGGAAACGGGAGAGAAAGAGCTGCCCTCCCCGTGATTTTCAGACATTTTCTGAGCAATCACAAGTGGAGTGGGGACAGAGCGAAGCAGTCTGGGGTGCTGCGCAGGGACCGCAGCAGGATACCCCTCGTAGATGGGCAACGGAGGTGCTGACGGGAGAACCGAAGGAAGGATAACGGCATCAGCAGGCACGTTTCCATCGGGGGCACCGTTGTGCTCTAGCCGATGTTTATCTCGTTTCCAAACCTCCTCCAAGCCTGGGGATGGGGAAGAGACACAGAAACGTAAGAATCACAGAGCTGTCTTTACATACCACCGGACGTAGCTTAGCTACCATCAGTTTTGGAGTCAAAACTAATCTATTTTAGCATTTCTACTCCACTAGAAACCTCCAAGGAGGTTTAAGGTCACTTGTAATGCAAGAATGGTCAGTAACACGACTTCCGGGCAAACAGCTTCTCGTAAAGGAGCTTTTGTTTTAGCTCCACTGATCATAACACCCTAGGATCATTTGAAAAGGTCGGTGGGAGAATTTTTACTCCCACCCCTCTGGTTTGAGGCCGGTCGACAGGTGATCTAATCAGAGGTGGGTTTCCAGGTCCTGTTTGGAATCGGATAACAACAAGCGAATTACTGAGGACTACTGCATCATAGAGAAAGCCTGTCCGTATGCCTCTCTCTTTCCTTTTCCTTCCCTCTTTTCTCTCCGATTTATTATTTATTAATTTCGATTTATATCCCGCCTTGCCAGCACAGGCAAGTGTACGATACTTTGGCACTTTTTATAAGTTTCTTCACTCTTTTTAAAAAAGACACTCGGAAAGGCTGTGTCTTTCCCCATTCCTATTGGGATGGGAACAGATCAAAAGAATGATCAGCGACACATCTAAACTCACCAACAACCGATACAGAATCCTTCCTTTCTCTGTCTCATAGTCTGCTTGCTGTTAATCTGTGTTTCGTGAGCAATTCTAGACAGGTCAACCATTCAAGACACCCAATTCTAGGTGCTGGTTTTGACCTTTAAAGCCCTACTGGGCAGGGCTATTTTGGGGCAGGAACGCACAGGAATGGAGTTCCGGCTGGCTTCAGAGTTGGCCACGCCCACTACAGCCAAAACCTCTGCGTGCCTGGCTACAGAGGGAAGGCCTGGAGAGCAAACCCCCCCCCAGCGACTCCCAAGGCGTGTGGGCCCGGAAGGATTTCCCTGTGCCTTCCCTGGCCTGTCCAAGGGCCGGCTTGCCCGGGCTCCCCGCAGCCGCAGGGGACGTGAGCAAACCAAAGGAAGGCATGGGGTGTGGCCTAGTATGCTAACGAGTTTCTGCTGTTGGGTGTGGCCTATTATGCTAATGAGTTCCTGCTGGGCTTTTTCTACAAAAAAAAAAAGCCCCGGTCTGCTTGCTGTTAATCTGTGTTTTGTGAGCCATTTTAGACAGGTCAGCCATTCAAGACACCCAATTCTAGGTGTTGGTTTTGACCTTTAAACCCCTACGTGTCTCGAGACTGGGGTATTTGAAGGACTGTCTCGGTCCGTACGTTCCTAACCCAGGAATTAAGATCACCAAAAGAGGCCCTCCTGACTCTCCCATCAATCAAAGGTGCTCCTCTGGTGGGTACACAAAAAAGGGCCTTTTTGGTGGCAGCCCCACAATTATGGAACAACCTTCCCAGGGGACTGCAAGGACTCCCCTGGACTGCAAGGAGATCAAACCAGTCAATCCTAAAAGAAATCAACCCTGCCTGTTCCCTGGAAAGCCAGATACTGAAGCTGAAGCTCAAATACTTTGGCCACCCAATGAGAAGGGAGCGCTCACTGGAGAAGACCCTGATGCTGGGAAAGACTTAAGGGAAAAGAAGATGGGGACGGCCAAGGATGAGATGGTCAGACAGTGTTATCGAGGCAACAGACATGAAATTAAGCAAACTCCGGAGCACGATGGAAGACAGGAGGGCCTGGCGTGATCTGGTCCATGGGGTCGTGAAAAGTCGGACTCGACTGTGCGACTGAACAACAATAACTCCCCAGGGAGGTGTGCCTGCCCCCCCACACATTTGATCTTTAGAAAGCAGCTGAAAACAGTTGCATTGAAGTCTGCGTTTGATGACAGCAGTACTCAGTTGTGATTTTAAATTTTGGTTTTATGTATTTTTATGCACTCTTATTTTATGCATCCTATGTATATTGTGAGCCGCCTTGAGCTATATATAAGGAAGAAAGGCGGCTAATGAATATATCAAATAAACAAACAAATAAAACATTACTACTTAAAGAGTTTGAAGAGTGCTTCCCATATTCAAAGCACTTTCCTGTGTACAGTCTTACAGCGGCCCTGTAAAGTAGGCCAGCATTATCAGTACATCTAGTAGGTAAGTGCCTTGGCCTTCGTACCAGTCCCAGAGGCAGCGCAATGGGTCCACCCAGGAAAGAGATAGTGGCTCTTTTTGTAGCAGGAACTCCTTTGCATATTAGGTGACACACCTCTAATGTAGCCAATCCTCCAAGAGCTTACAGTAGCCCCTGTAAGAAGAGCTATGTAAGCTCTTGGAGGACTGGCTATGTTAGGGGTGTGTCGCCTAATATGCAAAGGAGTTCCTGCTACAGAAAGAGCCCTGGTGAGCTCTATGTGCTTTTTGGGGGGGTGGGGGGGAGGATGCAGAAGTATAGGACTTCCCCAAAAGAAACAAATGCGTCCCACCCAAAACAGCCTCACGAGAAGTGAGTAGGTTCCACGAGCACAGAACGTGGGAGAGCAGCTGATGGTCACGTCTGATTCACACATGCATGCGAACGGGGGTGGCAGGACGGACGATACCACTATAGACTCCAGGTCCAGCTCTGAATGTTCCTCCAAATTAAGAGCTAAGCAGAAAACTAGCCCATCAGGGAGAGAGGCTCTAGCCCCACCCTTTCCTTGCCATGCTGGTTTCCTTCTTGCGGGGAGTTTTTAAACAAAGTATTTCAAACTGTGATCCTCCATTGGCACCCTAAAGCGGTATAGTCCCTTCCCCCACCTCCTGCATGTGCAAATCAGGCATTGGTCAAAGGAAGAACAGGGGATGGGGAAACCAGGCTACCTAAGTGAAAAATGGAGTCCAACGTCATCGCAATCAAAATTTATTCCAACATTAGCTTTTGTGAATCAGAGTTCACTTCATCAGATGTGAGGAGTGTACACACATGGAACACAGGAAGCTACTTTCTACTGAACCAGATCCTTGGTCCATCAACGTCAATACTGTCTACCCAGACTGGCAGCGGCTCTCCGGGGTCTCAGGCAGAGGTCTTTCACATCACCTCCTGCCTGATCTTTTCAGCTGGAGATGGCAGGGATTGAACCTGGGACCTTCTGCGTGAAATGAAGAGGCTCTACCACTGAGCCACATACTTTCCCTAAAACTAGTGAATGCACATTAAACTGTGGTATACCGAATCAGCCCCTTGGTCCATCAAGGTCAGTATTGTCTACTCAGATTGGCAGCGGCTCTCCCAGGTCTCGGAATGAGGTCACATCACCTCCTGCCTGGGCCTTTCAACTGGAGATGCCGGGGATTAAACCTGGGACCTTCTGCATGCCAAAAAGATGCTCTGCCATTGAGGCGCATATACATTATGCAGAGGTCCCCGCCTTTTTAACCCTGTGGGCACCTTTGGAATTTGGACATGGGGTGGTGGGTGCAGTCCAGGGCTCTTTTTGTAGAAAAAGCCCAGCAGGAACTCATTAGCATAATAGGTCACACCCAACAGCAGAAACTCATTAGTATATTAGGCCACACCCCTGACAGCACAGCTCATTAGCACATTAGGCCACACCCCCGTGTTACCAGAAGTGTGTTTATCCAGCCACACCCACCTTTTGCTTCTTATTGTGTTTACCTTGTTTGTTGTCCAAACCCAGGGCCCTTTTTTGTAGCAGGAACTCCTTTGCATGTTAGGCCACACACCCCTAATGTAGCCAATCCTAATGAGTTCCTGCTGTTGGGTGTGGCCTATTATGCTAACGGGTTCCTGCTGGGCGTGGCCAAGTTGGGAGCCAGCCAGAACTCCGTTCCTGTGCGTTCCTGCCCAAAAATAGCCCTGGGTGCAACCCCAAAATAGCTGCCATGGAAGGCAGAGCCACACACACACATACACACACACATACACACACACGGAGGAAGGGCAAGGGAGAAGAGAGGTAGCTTTAAAAAAATACACTGGGAGAGATGAGTGAGAGAGAATAAAACCAACACTGGGATGGCTGCTGCCACTGAAAAAAACACTTCTAAAAAATCCGCACAGCCAATCAGATCTCCAGTGGTCAATCAGAAGCCCTGCTAGACGGGAGGCCCCTTGGCCCCACCCATTTTCTGACTACCCGTGGGCACCATGTTGGGGACCCCTGACATAATGGACAAACACACGCATCTGATGAAACACACGTGGCCTCACAAAAGCTTCTGTTAGAACGAATGACGTTAGCCTTTAAAACCCCACAGGACTCCTGTTCTGTTTTGCCGCCACAGACAGACACTGCTACCCATTTGGAATTCTTCCCCCCTTCCCGCGAGTCCTTGCGAGTGCCCAACTTGTTTTCACTGTTTTGCAGGTGGAGGGCTGAAGCTGGGAGAGAGACTGACTGGCCTACAGCCACCCAATGAGCTTGCAGCCAGGCTCAGATTTGAACTGGTGATCTCCTCGGTCTCGGCTCACTCTCTTAGCTACTGGACTGCGCCAACTTACCTGCTTCCATGTGCCGGCTATGAACAAAGTATCGACTGCTGTTCTCGGGCACTGGCCGGACCAAGTCGATGATCTCTTCCGGCTCCGAATGGCTGGACGCAATTTCTTGCATTGACCTTGGAGAGTGGCGGCGAAGACCTTGTTCCTCCAAGTCGTCTTCCAGGGCACCGATAGTTTCCTCAAAGAAGAGGAGGACATCTTTTTCCTCGTGACTTAGGTATCTCAGGGTCTCATCCTCCTCCTAAGATTTTAACAACAAACAGAGAGATTTGTTTGCATATGAAGGAGGTTAAGATGTGCCTCCCCATCCAATGTTTGCGGACAGCCCTTGAAGACACGCACATGGCGCCACTGGCTGGAATGGAGGCAGAGATAAGAAGGGCGCACCAGATTAGACCGGTGGACCATCTTGTCCAGTGCCGTGTCTCACGGCGAAGCACTAGGCTTGTCCAAAGGCAAAGGAACAGGTGGGAATTGGAAACACCTGGACCAAAACCATGGCTGTATTCGTCCTTCTCTCCCCTTCTTGCAGGGCAAGAACCAAAGGGATACTGGCCCTTGGTTCTTAGCCTATGGCTTGCAGGCTGTGGCCCCGATTAAATTCTGCTGACAGAACCAGCATCAGCCTTGGGAGAAGAGAAGAGATTGGATTTATACCCCGCCCTTCACTACCCAAAGGTGTCTCAGAGCGGCTGACAAACTCCTTCCCTTCCCCTCCCCACAACAGGCACCCTGGGAGGTAGGTGGGGCTGAGAGAGCTCTTGACAGAAACTGCTCTTTTTCAAGGACAGCTCTTATCAGAACTACGGCTTGACCAAGGTCATCCAGCAGCTGCAAGTGGAGGAGTGGGGAATCAAACCAGATTAGAGTCCGCGCACTTAACCACTACACCAGACTTTATAACCCATCACTTGCTGGAAGAAGAAACACATTCAGAGGCTCTAAGGCAGAAGGCAGCGTCAGAGGTGATCTCCTCGGTCTCGGCTCACTCTCTTAGCTACTGGACTGCGCCAACTTACCTGCTTCCGTGTGCCGGCTATGAACAAAGGGCCTCAGCCGGCTATGAACAAAGGGCCTCAGCCTCTATGCCCTGTTGTTAGCCCTCCAGAGGAACTGGTGGGCCACTGTGTGAGACAGGATGCCGGACTAGATGGACCACTGGTCTGAGCCAGCAGGGTTTGTAAGTGCCTATTTGCATGTGTGTGTGCGTGTATATATATATTTAAACAGTATACATGTATATTATATATATCCTGTTTGTATATTGTATATTTAACCGGTGTATCTATTTGTATATGTAAACCACTTTGGCCCTAGCTTGGATGTTAGCCCAACCTTGTCAGATCTCGGCAGCTAAGCAGGGTCGGCCCTGGTTAGAACTTGGATGGGAGACCACCCTGGAAGCCCAGGGGCTTCACCAGAAGGGTAATTAACACGTGGAATTCTCTGCTGCAGGAAGCGGTGGCGGCTACAGGCACAGACAGGTTCAAGAGGGGCTTGGATAAACGTATGGAGCAGAGGTCCATCAGTGGCTGTTAGCCACAAAAAGAAGAAGAAAAGAGCCTGCTCGTGGGGAGGGTGGGGTACAAATTAAATTAATAATAACAACAACAACAACCTACCCTTCACTTGGAGTCTCAGAGCGGCTTACAAACGCCTTTCCCTTCCCCTCCCCACAACAGACACCCTGTGAGGTAGGTGGGGCTGAGAGAGCTCTGACAGAAACTGCTTTTTCAAGGACAGCTCTGACAGAACTACGGCTTGCCCAAGGTCATCCAGCAGCTGCAAGTGGAGGAGTGGGGAATCAAACCCGGTTCTCCCAGATTAGAGTCCGTGCACTTAACCACTACACCAAACTGGCTCCCAAAGTATACAAGGTATAGATGGAACGCTCTGTCTGGGGCAGTGATGCTCTGTATTCTTGGTGCTTGGGGGCAACAGTGGGAGGGCTCCTGGAGTTCTGGCCCCACTGGTGGACCTCCTGATGGCACCTGGGTTTTGGCCACTGTGTGACACAGAGTGTTTTACTGGATGGGCTATTGGCCTGATCCAACATGGCTTCTCTTATGTTCTTATAGATGGACCGCTCTGTCTGGGGTAGTGATGCTCTGCATTCTCGGTGCTTGGGGGGCAACAGTGGGAGGGCTTCTGGAGTTCTGGCCCCACTGGTGGACCTCCTGATGGCACCTGGGTTTTGGCCACTGTGTGACACAGAGTGTTGGACTGGATGGGCTATTGGCCTGATCCAACATGGTGTCTCTTATGTTCTTAGGTAGAGGCGGGCGATGGCAAACCACCCGTGAACATCTCTTGCCCTGAAAACCCTTAGAGCCACCATACGTCAGCTGTGACTTGAATGGCATTTCCCACCATCAAGCCAATTTGGGCTCCGTAGGGGAGGAAAGCGGAAAATAAATGTAAAGTCCATTTCCGTTGCTGCCACAAGAACATTTGGCCAAGGTTCCGTAGTCTGAAACAATACAGTCACCTGTAGTCCAGACTTTCCCCAAGAGATCTGTGACAGAAAAGCCCCCCCCCAAATCCCAGATTGTACAAACCATGAGCTGGAACTTCAGGTAAAGAAAGACAGAGGCATGACATGTGGCCGAGTCCACCTAGAGAGTTGACAAAGCCCCTCGAAGGTGATTTAGAAACAGAAGAAAATACTTCTTAGAAGTACCCGAATGCCCCTACTGGTACAACAGAAGTGTCAGTTACAGCTTGACATTGTGTTTTTACCAAAGACTTAAGTTGGTACAAAGTGGCTTACGGGATCAAACTCTTTAATCCAGCAATCCGCTTCCATCACCAGCCAGTGAAACGCCTCTGGGGTTCTCTCCCCCGTCATTTGACTTCACATTTTACTACACAGAGGTACACTGCCTCTGAACATGGAAGTTCCATTTATCTCTCAAGGCCAACTGACGTCACTTTCCAGGTACATGCGAGCCCAATTCAGCAGCACACGGGGAGAGAGAACTTAAACCTTTCCCTTGTGCTGTTTTCCCCAGCCCCACAGAATATCAATCAGCTCCTGTTTGCCCGGCTGGGAAAACTTACGAGTAGCCATCCGGGGGGAAGGCTAGGGTCACAGGCAATGCTCCCTCTAAGCTCTGGAGTCTTGTGAGCAAAGAGTCTACTTTGCGAGCGACTGGCATTAAAGTTGTGAGCGAGCGATTTGGCGACTGCATAAATCAGTTCGCTCTGGAGCCGTCAATTCCTGAGCTGAGACGAAAATGTGTGAGCCGGAGGCTTAAAAACTGTGATCTAGCTCACACTAACTCAGCTTAGAGGGAACACTGGTCAGAGGGTCCCAATCTAGACTCAGACCCACACATATAGGAATCAAGTTCTAAGCAGAAAACTCCATCCTGGAGACCGGGTTAGGGTGGCCACAAGGACTTTGTAATGCATCTTTCAGCCTTTAACCTCAGGGACTATTTGTTCAAGCGGTCAGTTTGACGAGTCAGACTACACAATGGCCTGGCCTGCTAACCCCAATTCAGCATCACAGTCACCAGGTATTTGATTCTTTTGTGTCCGTCACATTCCTTGTTCAAGGCTGGAACGCAAGACAGGAGGCCGTCCCGCAAGACCCCCGAAACTGTTTCTGGTGCCAGGCGAAAGGTCTCTCGGGCTGCTGCCTTTCCAGAGAGAAGAGTTACGACCGACAAGATAAACATTGCCCTGGGGACATAATGGAGGTTTTGTTGTTTTTTAATGCCTCCAAAGCACGGGGAGTCGCTCAAAGAACTGGAACGGCAAACCTGGAACGGCAAACCAAGTTTCACTTGTGTACACAGGGGTAATATAAAGTACCCGAATTAGCAGGCGGATCACGTGAGGGATTGCGCCTCCCGATAATTGAGCACTCCCGGCCTGTTTCAAAAATGTATGTAAGCCGCATGATCTAAGCCGCCCCGAGCCTGCTTGCGGGGTAGGGCGGGATAGAAATCCATAACTGACTAAATTAATAAAAGACGTAAACGTTAAAGCAAGGACTGTGTTTTTGAGCTAGGCTCTCGGTCCCTCGAACTCCCAGCCTCCCGTTCCCCCGTGGGCTCCATCCTCGGGACTCTCTGCCCGCTGCTGGTTCTATCCCCAGGAGACTCTGCCCCCTTTCCAGAGAGTTCCGTCACCAAGTCCTGCCATCCGGTCTTTCGATTTCAGAAGTCAGGAACCATACAGCTTTCATGGAGCTGGTACTGGCATGCATCCAGTTGGCCCTCAGTCAGAATCCTGGAGTTGGAAGGAGATTTATAGGCAGGGTTGCCAGGTCTGGGTTGGAAAATACCTGGAGACTTTGGGGGTGGAGCCTGGAGAGGGCAGGGTTTGAGGAGGGGAGGGGCCTCAACAGGTGACAATGACACAGAGTCCACCTTTCAAAGCAGCCGTTTTCTCCAGGGGAGCCGATCTCTGCCAGCTGGAGATCAGCTGTAAAAGCGGGAGATCTCCAGGCCCCACCTGGAGGCTGGCAACCCTATTTATAGGACAAATAGGCCAAACCCCCTGCTCACATGTATGAATCTCACACATACGAAGCTGCCCTCTACTGAATCAGGCAGGCAGCGTCTCTCCAGACTTCTATACAGAAGTCTTTCACAATAATGACCACCAGATCCCTTCCAACTGGAGATGCCGGGGATTGAACCTGGGACCTTCTGCCTGCCAAAGAGATGCTCTGCCACTGAGCCACAGCCCCTTTCAGTGCAGGAAATCCAAAGCAAACAGATGGCTCTCCAGCCTCTGTTTAAAGACCTTCAGCAAGAGACACGCCCTTCTCAAGTGACTGGGTTAGGGTTGCCGGGCCTTGATGGGCAACCAGGAGGACGTTTCAGGGCCACGAGGGGCGTGATATCGCATGCACCATTACATCACTTCCAGTGAAAACCTGGTCCCATTGCCCACCACTGCTCCAACCAGCAGAGGGGAGGAAATTAAAATATCTGGCAGTGTCACATGTGGGTTATCCCACTTCCAGTGAAAACCTGGAAGTGACAGGGGGTAGCTCTAGGAATATCCGGAAACTCTTTGGTTTTCCCACAGAGTTTCCGGCGATTCCTAGAGCTATCCCATGTTACAGGCGGACTATACCAGGTGCTTTTAATCTGCTCACGTGAATGCCCAGAGTTGCCAACTCTGCATTGGGAAATTCCTGGAGATTTTGGGGTGGAGCCTTGCCAGGGTGGGGTTTGCTGAGGGGAAGGACCTCGGCAGGGTACAATGCCACAGAGACCACCC